CCCCCCCCCCCCCCCCCCCGAGAAAGCTAAACTTTCTGTTTGGGAACCAAAGGGACTTTGAGGGTTCTGGAATTGGCAAAACATCGCTACCCTCTTAGCTCACCCCCCAGATTCAATAATTTCTCCAGCAAGTTAAAAAAGAGTAACCCCACAAGGAATTACCCCACCAGGAACCATAAATTATATAGGTATTATATACACGGAAAACACATCTCAGTAGACATTTACAGTTGCTCCCTCTCACAAAAGAGACTACGGATTGGTGAACCGGATGCAAGTAACATTTTTATTAGCACATCCACTCAGTGCTGGCCTAAGGAGTATATAAATTAGCAGTTTGTGGTGTTAATTAACATCTGTCCGATGCATTGCGTGAGAAACCCGTAACTTGCACGTTTCAGTCCGAGTTTCCTGAATCCGGTCACTCGAGTGTGAAAGACTAAGAAGCCTCACGGCTGCCACACCGTGAGATGACGCACGGTGGTGTGAAAATTCTACAAGGGTTTCTGTGTTCTCCGATCGTGTGTGTTTGATCAGTTAGCAGCATTTTTGCTTTTGTTTCATTTACGTCGAGATTCGATTCGTGACTAAAAATCAGCAGGAATGCCGGGCACTGACTTATCAGGCTCTAGAGTCAACTATGAAATTCTAGAAATCCTAGCGCCAAACTATTACCGCCAGGGGAATCAGGGATAACTCGGATGTCGGCTGTAGCCCACATCACGTATTATCATTTCAGCTGTTTTCTACATTGAGCTTAATATATCAGCTCACAGAATTTAGAAACCATGGAAGAAAAGAAACTCAACCACACAAATTAAATGTGATATTCCTCAAGGGGGCAGGTAGCAAATGCTGGGCTAATTCTGCACTTCACCTTACCCCGGGGGGGCTGAGCGTACTTAGCGATGAATAATTTTTCTTATAAATCCTTAGCCTGACCCTGGCTGGCTACAGGGACCTTCGTGGAGAGATGCATTCACTCTGGCTACGTTCACTGTAAGGTACAGCCTGAAACTAGCTGGTTAAAATAAATGCCTGCATATTTCGGCTGTTAACCCGCCTCTGATTTTTCATATTTTTCAAAAATGATTCTCCAGTGTGAGCTTTAATTCTTTACTCCTTGTGGTGGGGTAAATGATGTTTAATGTTTGATTTTGCACTTAAAAGTATACAGCAGAGACCAACTTCTGCTCCCTAAATCATTTTCCAATTGCACATATCTTCATCTGTTACAGACTCTACACGGGAAAGCCCGAATTGCAAATATCCTCGGGTCTATTTTCAAAATCTTCTACCAATGTTTTGTTTGGTTTGCATTTTTTTTTTCCATGTAGCTTTTGGCAAGTGACTTAACTTTCAAGTACCCTCGTTCCCCCAATCCATAAAACTTAGGAAATATTCCTGTCTGACAGTTATGTAAAACGAATTAATTACCATGGTTTGGAGACTATGGTTTTTGAAATAAAAACCACGCCAAATTACTAAGATTAAAAATTAAGTGGAATTTGTTTCAGGAGAAGAAGATGATTGATTTTTAAAGGCGGCTACAAACGCCATTACTTTTGTTCAAAAAAAAAAATCACTAATACTTTAAAAACAAAATCACAAAAAACCCCACATCAAATGTCTGTCTATTTTGGGTGTTAATACCTACAAGTAAGAGAAAGCAAAAAGTAGATGGTTTTGAGAACTTTTTACTTTTCTCAAATGTTTTCATATAAATATATTACACTATTATTTTTGTAGGATTTTGAAAATATTTGGTTATCCCGTTCCTGCAATCTATGAAACAACAGCTTGCTTATTTTCAAAACAAAAATAAATCAATGCATCCAAATCTATTATTTCATAAGCTTTCTCTAGCACCAGTTAACTACATTAAAATAAATTATGCTAAGCAACCAAACAGGTATACCAATTGGCTTCAGTTATAGATTATTTTGTGGCCCGGGATGCTCCTAACACTGTTATGAGGGCGAAAAATAAAATTCTCCTCTTCTTGTGAAATTTAGAGTGGGAAACATTTTTTTTTCAGTCCTTTTATTACCAAAGGTATGCTTCTTCTTAAGGAATTGACAGAACTTACCTTACTTTTATACCTCTGGTCTCCCAGTTTTAACTGGACAAACATTTCTGTCATGCTTCCTCCTGATACATTCTTCCCTTCCAACAAGGTTATACTTATAATCCCATTCCAGAGTTGGTTCTTTTTCAAGGACTCTGAGAGTCGCAAGTTGCGTATCAAAGAGGACTAAAGCAAAGAAAGAAGAGGACAGATCAACGTGCTGATAATTCCTGAGTGTGACTTTGGTGATCACAGAAATTCCAGCTCTCAGTATGGGGATCAGGAATAGCACTCCCTAGCTGCTGAAAGTGTTACTTGTCTTCAGGATTTGGCCAACCTGCAGGCACAGTTATGTGGTTTCCTTCTCCAGCCCTGGACTTCTAAAGTATAGTGAAGGATGATTAGGAACAACGCTTGGATTTGGCCCTGGCCTATCCTCCCACCCAGATGCGCTCCGTGGTAGGAATCCTTCAGCTATTTTAATAGAAGGAAGGGAAGAAAGGCATTCTGGGAACAGAGAGACAGGAGCGAGGCATTGCTTTGCAGGCAAACAAAATACCTCTGGGCATTTAGCAATAACGGTTTTGAATTTATCCTTCACACTCAAATCTGTCCACACTTCCCTTTATTCCTTGGGCTGCTCCTAAAATGCCCAACACCACAGTGAGATTCACAACTCCAGATACAGCCTGGAAGCAACCAGCCAGGCAAATGCGATTTGCAGATCTGCAGGGAGGGGAAGGATGTATAACGTCCTTAGCACGGCGCCTGGGATCCAGTAGAGATTGGGTAACTCTTTACTTGTTTGTTTGTTTTTTTTCCTTTTCTAAATTGTATTACTCATGCACACTCACACACACCTTAAACAGAATGTAGAGGAGAGCAAACATCCCCGATTATTAAATTATAAAGAGGACACGCACACTTTATTTTTAATTTCCACTATGGAAATTTCCAAACACGCACAAAGGCAGAGAGCATGGTATATAAATCTCCACGTGCTGATCCATCTGATTCCACCTTTTGCCCATCTGACTTCATCTAGCCCTTCACTCTTTTTCTCGGGCTGAAAGAGTTGAAAGCAAAACCCATATGTGTTTTTACAGAAGCACCCTGCCGTGACCACATTCAACACAAATAACCATAATTCCCTTAATATCGTTAGACACCCAGCACAGAGTCACATTTCCCTGAAGGTCTCCACCGTGTCTTTTTTATGGTTAGTTTGTCTGAATGAGGATCCCCACCCGATCCGCACGCTGCATTGAGTTGGTGGAGTTGATCTACGTTCGCCGCTCGATACGTGAAATGGTACGAGCAGAGGCGGGCGTATTTGAAGGAGAAATAAATGGACTGGAGAATGTAAATGGCATAAAGTACCATAGTAAAGCCATGAATTTCTAACACTATATATTCGTTCCTGTCATCTACTCAATATATCTTTGAGATCATTCAGACACCAATTCGCTCGGACACCAGTTAGTCACAATTTATCACAACAAATGGTATGTCAGTACCGTATTAATTATATACCAGCTTACCTCATCCAACACATGTTACTCCACCACTCTTAATAAATGGTGCGGCAACAAGCCACCAAGCATTTGATCATTTTATGACGACCTTAAGCAAAGCACATTCAAGGAAGTCCACACTCTCAAACTTCACATCTGCGCTGCTCTTGTCTTAAAATGCACACACACACACACACACACACACACGCACGCACGAGTTTTGGAGGTGCCGAGACAGAGCAGGGAGGGGGCAAGGGAAAATAATTCATTTTAAAAAGAAAAAAAAAAAATCCCTCTCCTCTGGAGAACATGAACGATTCTTTCTGAACTTCTATTTCCAGTTTGGTTGTGGAGAGAATATATTCAATAAAAAAAGCTTTATGAAAGTATTAAAGTCAAGCGATTTCATGTTAATTAAACACAACACACGCCGACACAGTACACCAACAGACACATATACAAACATATATGCGTATGTGTTTATAAATTTATATTTGAGCATATAGATGTGGATACACCGAGTACATTTTATAGCTTATTAAGCACACGGGCTGAAAACTTCTATCTTTAAAAGGAAAATGAGATTTTGATTCATATATCCGGCTACAATTCCCTTTTTTTTTTTTTCTTTTTTCTTCTTAAAGTTTGACTTGCCAACCAACAAGCTAAAGCATGACCTGTCCCATGGCCATGCTTCAAAGTTCCGACAGATATATTCCTCCCTAAACACTGCAACTATTTCAAAATCCTTTTTATAAAGAAGGGAGTAATGTCCACATGGGATCAAAGGGCATCCTCCAGTCTGGCAATTGCCTAAGAAAAATGGCAGGGCTTCCATGAAATATGCCCTAAAATAATTTTGTGGCTTGGTATGTCCTAATTTCAAATTGGATGTTTATCTTGGAAAGGCTTCTATCTAACTTGTCCATAAAACAGCCCCACTTAGCTCTATGAGCTCTGTGAAAATGGAATCCAAAGCTGGTTATTAAGAGGGCCGAGAGATAGGTTCCATATGGCGGAACAGCATGGGAGGGCAAGGCTAAGGCCTACATCAGGCGCGGCTTGGCTGGATCTCCTGATCTATCCACGACACTAGTTGCATTACAGCATAACATCTGGATTATTGCTTGTAATGTCCCTGGGAAATATCCACTTTCCATCAAAGCCTTTATCTATCTCAGTTGGACTTTGAACATTTTAGTATTTAACGCAGTCATGTTTGATGTGATGGACTTGCTCTTTGCTGTCCAAGATTTTTTTTTTTTCTCCTCACTAAAGGCAGGGTAGGAGAAGTGAGCTATTTATTGTGGAGTTCACAGATAGAAAAGAACACAAGGCCTTTATTCTACGTATTTCGCCCTCAATCTTTTCTGCAAAACCTGCTTTCAGGTGATGTCCAAATAAAGTTGCACATCTACGAACAACATATTCTGGAGTGTGTGTGTGTGTGTGTGTGTGTGTGTGTGTGTGCTTTAAAGAAGTCTCGTAATTACTTTAACATGTGTCTTCAGCCTTGGGGCAAGTGATGAGGCCTCAGACCAGGGCTGATGGGGGAGAGGCGGGTACTGTCCGGGCCATCCTGTGCACTCTCTGATGCAGGGCCGGGCTCCCCAAATCTGCTGTGCTCTTGGAACAATCCCTTTCTCCCCCCAATAAATCCACTCCTCTGCACTCACCCTGTTAGCTCCATAGCTCAGGTTTTCACGTCTGTGCCTGAGCCCATAAGTGAAATTTGTCATCTTAATGCAGCCTGGAATGTGAAGGGAGACAAGGAAATGACCCATCAAAGGAGAAGCCCACCCCACCTGAGCTGAAACAAACACCAGGAGATAGAGCAAAGTTTCTGGGTCCTGACCCTAATTTCTCAGCCGACATAAAGGATAAAATATAGTACATCAGGGTTTTGCTATTTTTCTCCTTCCTCCCAAAGGAATCAGAACCTTTTACTATTTCTATGTTGTTTCATTCATAGGCTCTCTCTCTCTCTTCCTTGGCCCCCCACCCCACCAAATCCACACCGTTCTTCTGGACAGAAATCATAACTTCCATCTGAAGCACACACGTTCGTTATTACTGGTGAATACGAGGTATGATACTTATCTTTTTATTTATTTATGTTTTAATTTTAGAGAGAGAGTGTGTGCACGAGAGTGGGGGAGAGGGAAGGAAGGACAAAGAGAGAGAGAGAGAGAGAGAGAGAGAGAATCTCAGGCAGGTTCCATGCTCCATGTAAAGCACGACTCAGAGCTCCATCCGACGACCTTGGGACCATGACTTGAACTGAAATCAAGAGTCGAACACTCAACCAAAGGAGCCACCAAAGTGCCCCTGAGGTTCAATATTTAACTTTGAAACAGACTGACTTTCAGAAAAAATGAAAAGCTGCAGAAACAATTCACTTCCGGGTCATGACAATCCCGGGGACAAGGAAGGAAGGGGGGGAAAAAAGAGAACAGGCCTGAAGGTAAGAGCTGTGGACCTTCCACTCCCAACAGGCGGAGAATCTTCACAAGTTTCTGATCTAGGAATAGGCTCTCAAAACAGAGAATGGATTGTCATTCCTGGGGACATAGAAAATGGATTCCAGCTTAGCCACATGCATTATTTAAGGATTTGGGCCAAGTGGCATGCTGGGAAGATGGAGATATGGGCTCTGGTCTCTTGGCATGGCTGCTTAAGAAAACCCAGAAATGACAGGCCTGTCAGCCAAGTGCCTCCTCTCTGTCGTGGGCCAGGAAGAACGGCAAGGAGGTTAAGAGTTAAGAAAGAGCTTGGAAGAAGTACCATGCCGTCCGGGAGCCGGGGCCACAGCCTGTAGTCATCAAAAGCAACATTACAGCTAGCTGTGCCCCTCTCTGGGACACACTATGCTGATGGATACCGCAAAGTCATTACCTGAAGTACTCCCTTGGGTATGACAAAACACCAAAAAAACTTTTTTTGAAGAGCCAGAAATGAAAAAGAAGGGCAGGGCAAAAAAATTTTCTCAAGATTGTTCTAGGAAGGCATACCTAACTAGGTGCCAAATATCGTGTGGGTCACTTTTCTACCGTCTCAGTTACTGGAGTCTAGAAACACGTGTTCCAACGCTGCCGATGGGTCCTGTTTCGACTCTCGTTGATTCGTTTCCCTAAGTCACTGTGAGAAAGGAGGTGGCAGTGGAAACAAATGCACAGGGGGAAAAAAAAGTCGCTAACTTTGTAAGCAAAATGAACAACACAACAGGATTCGACTCTGCTAGGCATTGCTTAAGAAAAGCTAAGGGAGAACATTCAGTCTATAAAAGGTTCCCCTGAAATATTCCTTCCAAGCATTTTTAACATGTAAAACAACTGTTCATTGTCAACAGCTTTTATAGCATGACATGAGAAGGTCCATACATGCATCCAGCAGGCTCCCAGAGAAGCTCCTTCTTGGCGGCTTCTTATATCATCCGAAGAGGATGCTGTGGGCATAAATTCTCCTAGAACTACACAAAAATCTTTGCCTAAGGATATAAAGAAAGCCTTTTAAATCTCCCACGTGGACACGGACCATGAGATTTGTATTTGTATGGGAAAACTAGATTATAGTCTCGAGGAAAATGAATAATCTGTAGGTTGTACAGACATATTAGCTGTAAAAGTTTTAGAGGAGATTTAACATTTTTTTTCATTGCAAAGTATCATTGCT